AAACAATTTTTTTCATCAGAAACATGAATACGAATATTAATTCGTATCTAGAAAAAAAGCGACACAATGTACCGTGTAGATCTCTCTTTTTCTATCTCTTTAATTTGTATAACTACCTAAAAGTTGCAGTGTTGTGTCTTTTTTTATTCCTCGTGTATCCTATTATATTAATGATTGCAATTTATTTTATTCAAATTATTATCAAGTTTTTATTAACGTCGCTTTAAATATTTTCAGTCTGTGTGTCCAAATGAATTCGAAACTCGTAAGAATGGATCTAGGTCCAAATACACACTCGTCATAATCGTGGCCTACGAGAAAGAGAAAGAAGTCGAGCATCTCGCACACACGCGTGCGGACTGTGACCCAGCTAACGTACATGGAGATGCGCGTTGCGTACTTATCGTCGATCTCTCTCCGCGCGAACAATAGCTTTCACGAAGCTACAAAGCGAATTGCGAAGGCGGATTAAACGTTAAAAGGTGGCTCGCGTTCTGTTGGGCCGGTTCTGAAGTCTCCCGCGCTCTTTCTCGCTCATCGCGCTCTGTTTGTACAAGTGCCCTTCGTCGTCGTCGTCGTCATCATCGTGTACGCTCAACTGCAAATTACTCGAGTAATTTATGGTATCTCTGAATTCATATCCCCTCGCCACGATAGTTTTCTACCGCCTTCGGATGCAAACCTAAAGCTCCAAGCTTCGGCAGAGCTCTTATACTCGGAAGATTAAAGATATCCGTTACTATCTTAAACTTGAATTAATTTGATCACGCGTATTTTTATAACACTCTCAAAAGATAAGTCGATAATCGTAACGTCGCGATGCAATGTGTCAATATTATATTCGTTGCTGTTCTTATCAAAAATCCCAAATGCTCGAATTCGATGTTTGACACGATGAAACAATTTATTTATAAATTATGGAAACATATTTTTCAAAACGCGAGAGTATATCGTGCGAGTATCGTTGGTAGTTTTCTCTTGCATTAGCGCGATGTGTCGCGATTATTTGTGCGATTACGAACGTTGAACGAGCGTGGCATTACGCGGCTTGATATGTAGCGCTGTTTCGCAAAGAAGCGTTTTCGTAAAAATTTTAGAATCGACACAGCCTGCTTTTCTACTTGTGAAAGATTATATTCGCTCCTATTCTCTCCTCTCTACAATAACGGCTCTCTCTCTCCATTACTTCTTTCCCTCGCGTTTCTTTAAGTCTACCGATTTCGATCTCTGCTCGTCTCGCATAAACTATGTAAATCCAATGACTCTAAGTTTCTTGTGTGAGACGTGCTCTAGTAAGGAGACGAGAATTTCGGAGCAATTGTATCGTAGTAATACTTATTGCGCTTTCATGTAAATAGCTATCAACACTAACATTATACTTTGTTCCTCTTGGCCCTGTATATGATTTTTGTACGAGAGTTTCCAGACCGGAGTGATAGGCACTGTGTTTCCTTTGTATTTTATTTTCCTTTTTCTCAGTTTTATCCGATTCTTTCTTTTTTAGTCCCTTTCCCTTCCCTTTTTCCAGACACACCATTTGTCCTTCGCCGAAAACGATGAGCCCTTCGCCCTTGACCGTTTCTCAATCAGACAAAAAAAATAAAAAAAGAAACAAAAGCGTTGATTGCGACACGCATTAATTGGCGCAGCGTGATGGGCACTCGCCTTTGCGTGACAAAAAAAAAAGAAGGAAAAAAAAGAAGAAAAAGAGAAGATAAACAGAAAATTTGCGAGCGCAAAAATTCACGTCGAGCAACTCATCTCATCACAATCAGAAACTATTTGCCGTTTTATTCTTTTTTTCCCGTAAATTTCAAGGATCGATCGTACTCTGTAAGAATCACACGTCGCGTCTAACAATAAGCCGCTCGCTCGTCCTTTCGCGCCGATCAAGGAGGCGTTCGCCGAGTCCTTTTCCCCTTTTTCGCTCAATCGCAATTGGCGGTAGCACAAGTACGAGTAATAATAGTAGTATCAATAATAATAATAATAATAATAGCATTGGTAATAATAATAATAATAATAATGTGACGATAAAATCGCGTATAATTACAGTAAAAGTAATAATATTAATAATTAAACAAAACAATGTTAATATATACGAATAGTAATAATAATAGAGACATATAGATGCACTGTATGTCGGAAACATAGCATAATCTTACAGAAAAATAAAAAAAGAAAAACGGTTGTGGTAGTGAACTCGCTGGTATCGGATGCGACTATCGCTAATCACCGTTTACGAACAATCGTCGGAAATTAACCGCTACGCGAACGTAAATGTAAAGGAGACTATGAGATCAAATGTTTGATATATCGATAACCGCGCGCTCTCTCGCGCACCCAAGCGTGGCTCGCTCGCCCGATCGCCGCCCGATGCCGTCGCTGAATCTTAACCGCTGGATTCAGCGTCGATCGTCCAAGCGATCGATCGGAGTAACGCTCGCATGTTATCTTCCATGTATATGTGTATGTGCGTGTGTGTATTTGTGTATATGGTGTGTACGTGCTCGTTCCCGTCCTCGACCGAAGCGATCGCGCTTTCCTCCCTCAGACTTACCTTCGTCGCGAGCACTCATTTTCTTCTCCTTTTTTTTTTTTTTTTTTTTGGAGAGGGATACCAAAAAGTAGTGAAGCGACAAAAGGATAGCTTCGCAAAAAGTATTCTCCAAAGCATGACGATCCGAAGGAAATATTCTTTGATGTCGGGGATATATATCTCGACGATACATCTGAAAATATTCTGAGCAAATTCTGAAAATATCTCGAGAATATTCTGTCACTTCGCGTCGCGCACGTCAATTCATTGCCAACTCGACGAGATATATGTACGATCGATCGTCACACTAGGCGTATCGTTTAATATCGTTTTATTAGTTTGTTCCAAACCGACGACAAGTTGTTCTTTTCACGAGGGAGTTTCTTGATGATCGTTTTTGCCGATCGCTTCGCCGCTCCTCGCGGGAGGACAAAGCGATTATCGTCGACGTAGCGCATTATTCACTTTTCAACATCCATATCATTATTTCAATATACATATTATATATATACATACATACATGCATATATATATATATATATTTATATATACATATATATATATATATATATATGTAAGTAGTAGTAATAATAGTAGCAACGCACACGTATTATACCGATCAACATTCTTTCCGCATTCATTCCATTTTGCGTCAAGATAGTTTTACGGTTTTCTCGAGGGTATCCAGGATCGTTTATAACAATCAAGTAGCGCTTCTTTTTCATTTCCACTCCTGATCTATCATGCGGCGTGACGAGAGTAACGCCACACTTTGCTTTAATATATCAGGAGAAATAAATACAAATAAAAAAAAAATAATAATAAAATAAAATAAAACTGAATTTTTCCAATTAAACATCGATTAAAACTCCCTTTTAACATCGTCCCAATTTAATAAAATGCAAAAAAGTTCGTACTGAACATAATAATAAAATCATAAAGAAGCTGAAAAACAACAAAAAATGTAATAACCCATGTACCCAACCTTTGCATCTTAACGCTAATCCTGATCATCCATTTCTAATCTCTTTATATATATATATATGTAAGTAGTAGTAATAATAGTAGCAACGCACACGTATTATACCGATCAACATTCTTTCCGCATTCATTCCATTTTGCGTCAAGATAGTTTTACGGTTTTCTCGAGGGTATCCAGGATCGTTTATAACAATCAAGTAGCGCTTCTTTTTCATTTCCACTCCTGATCTATCATGCGGCGTGACGAGAGTAACGCCACACTTTGCTTTAATATATCAGGAGAAATAAATACAAATAAAAAAAAAATAATAATAAAATAAAATAAAACTGAATTTTTCCAATTAAACATCGATTAAAACTCCCTTTTAACATCGTCCCAATTTAATAAAATGCAAAAAAGTTCGTACTGAACATAATAATAAAATCATAAAGAAGCTGAAAAACAACAAAAAATGTAATAACCCATGTACCCAACCTTTGCATCTTAACGCTAATCCTGATCATCCATTTCTAATCTCTTTAATTTAAATTAAATACTAGTTACTGTTTTTATTATATTTAATTTAATCATAATTTTAATTTTTAATTCTCCTCTCTAATGTTTCTATGCTATACAATCTTATGTTGTAATTCTAACGAATTTAGAAAGAACGCCGACGTCACGCATAATGCGCGCGCGTTACGCACCATTGCTGGAGATTGTGTGTGTTTATACTCTCTCTCTTACATACATATTTCGAATATATATTATATTCTACTAAATACACATTTTTTTCTCGGTATATACAACAAAAAGTGGGCAGTTGTGAGTCGCGCGGAGACGAGGAACCATTTCGTGAAAATGAATAATTTGCTTTCCTCAGAATTTCCTTCTCGATCCATTTTCGATCCGCGCGGCCCCAATCGCCCACCCACGCTCTTACCGATATTTATATATATATATATATATATATATATATATCTTCATACAAAAATATACAACAATATCTCTTAAAATTCTCTAAATTATTCCCAATTTTCACTCAATTTTGAACAATAATGGAACAGATTTCCGTGTAAAATATTCGCCGATATCTTTTAATATACGCGGTACACATCTGGTATTAATAATCGGGCTTTATTTATCAGAGCGGGAAAGCTCAGTCTATTTCTCCGCGATCGATTTTCGGGCGTGCGCAATCAATGATCAACGAACTTGATAAAACGAGCGAGCGAGCCCTGGATCTCCCTGAATCTCCTCCTCCCACGCACGCGATGACGCAAAATGCACGACACGTCACGTGCTGCACGTCCGATGAAATCGACCTCAGATTTCTATCTCGGCCGTTGTCAGCCACAGCTGTCGGCGATGCATGCTCGATCTTTATTGACCGTGGGATCGGCAGGGTGTGCCCTGATATTTCCCCGAAAATCGACAAACAAGAAACCGGTGCATCCAATGTATCCGGTGCGTACAATGCACGCACCGCAAAATATATATATCTTCATACAAAAGTATACTACAATACATGTACAAAAAAAAACATCTGGATCTCGAAAATGTCACTCATCGTGGCTGTCGTTCGTTTTCTTCTTCTTTTTTTCAATGACCAATATCCGTTAACGCCGCGAAGATGACTCGCCAGTTCTTTGCTAACAATAAGTAAAAACTTTGCTATCTTTGCGCTATGCTGATATTCAAAATACGAAAAGAGCCAATGCAAACATCTAATATCGCTTTAAATATCTAAAAATTTAATATTGGCGGACTAGTTCGTAAAAAAGGTTCAGCACTGTCAAGTATCAAATCTCTGAGATGTTTATCACTACAATCATGGCGTTGAAAGCGTGTTCGCGAAACGAAGATCTATTAAATTGAAATATGAGCGTTGACTGAAACTTGTCTCTTCCGGTCCTATACATAGCGAGATAATGAAGAGAATCCTAAATATTTTCCATAAATTTCTCCAAGAAAAGAAAAGAACCATGAAACAAGGCCATGCCCTATCTCTTGAATTTATCTTAATGGCTTATACATGCTAATTATCATCCATTCTACGGATATCTCGCTATCCGCAAAGATTATACGGTCGAAGTTAACCGCAACCCAAACGATCGTATCTCTTTCCCCTCGAAGGGACATCCCGACTCAATATAATGATCGGTCTCGCGAACACTCGCCTGCATTAAATACAAAAGCGACACGAAAGCCACGACGCGCGTCAATTCGAGAAAAAAATCGTGGAGGCGTACATTTTCGAGAAGCAATATCTTCTCGAGCGCCAAGTACAAAAGACGAAGACACGCGATGGCGAATGACGATACATTCGGTCGTCTGTCGAAAGTCGAGCATGTGTGATTTGCGTAGGGGAAAAAAAGCTCGACGATAACAGTCGCGATAAATCGCGTTATCGTGTCCTCGCCAACACGTTCAACCGAGATCTTCGAATCGATTGGTACGCGAGATGCTCGCGGGGATTCACGGAAACAAACTTCTCTTCCTGTTCACGGAGAAGACTCGTCCATCTTGAGGACAGCAACCCGCGGTTGACAAACACGCTAACGATCCCCCTTCATGAAAAAAGCATTGCATACAAACCGAAGATGAATAACGACGTCCATTCCTTATTTGTTACTCTTTTTCTTTCTTTTGATTTTTCAAAAGCTTGGCGAGGTCCAATCGTCACTATGATTGAGAAGTATGGCCATGATATCAGATGTGCTAGACGTGAAATCCACGTCCTTCATGTCCTCCATCTCCTCCATGCTCGTCGTCAGATCAGCCAGTTCGGACAGGTCGTCGGACAATTCGGCGTTAATTATCAATTCTTCGAGTTTAACCGGGCAACCAATGTTGCTAAAGTCGTCGGTGAGCAAAGAGTCATCGGCAAGGAGAACTCCCGTAGTGCCAGTCGTCGTGGTCGTAGGGATGGACGACATGACGGGCGATTGCGACGTAAGTAACGCCGCGTTGGACGGAACGGCCGCGTCCATTAGCATAGGTTGCGACCACGTCCTGAACGGACTCGTTTCCCGCTTCATGCCGAAAATCGTCTCCTTCAGCTTCTCCTCCTTGATGTGGAAACTCGTCGCCGATTGCCGAACGCTAGAAGTCGAGTTCGCGCGGCAATATCCGCGATTGTTCGTTCGCATCACCGACGCTATGTCCGGCAAAACATTCTTGCTGGCGAAATCGTTTGTGTTATCCATTTCGACCTTCGGTTCCTGCTTAATCTTGATGGGGATGGCATTGTAGATTGCGTGAACCGTGGGAGCAGATTCCGAGGAGTAGTTATCGTCGTAGAAAGTGGCGGACTCGGGCGAATCCGGGGTGTCGCAGGTCGGGCTGGTGGGCACTTTAGCGGTCACTATGGGTGGCGCCGAGGTGTAATCCACATCAGAATGCAGTGTATTGCGCGGTGTCTCCAGAGTTTCCAGAGTCAGTCGGACTTGTTTGGAGTTCAACCTGGACACCGATTTGCCGCTCGGCAGAGTCTGCAACCTCTTCATCGGCTTCTTCAAGGTCTGCTGCTGGGTATTGTTGTTATTGTTATCGTTTCTCGTTCTGGTAGCGTGACTAGCGGCGGGTGCCGCTGAAGGCGGCGACATCGGGGAAGTGGCCACGTATGAAGTATGATGCACCATCGGGCTGTTTGATGGCGTCGACAATGACGACGACGATGATGGCGACGGCGATGGTGACGGCGACAATGATGCCGATGGCGATGGTGACGACAACGGCAACGATAATGACGCTGATTTCCGCGGTCTCTTTCTCTCCTTTGTCTTGGAGACTTCCGCGGGTTTCGAGGTCTTCTTCCTAGGTCGGTACTTGTAGTTTGGATATTGTTTTTGATGAAGCTGCCTCAGCCGTTCGGCCTCGTCTCTGAAAGGCTGCCTAGCTTCTTCCGATAACAGCTTCCATTTTTTTCCTAATTTCTTGCTGATCTCGGCATTATGCATATCCGGCTGTACCTCGCAGATCTTTCTGCGTTCCATTTGCGACCAGACCATGAATGCGTTCATAGGCCTTTTGATCCGGTTCGGATTGTTTTTCTTAGTCTGCAAAAAAGAAACAAAAAAAGGGCGTTTATTAATTTTTTTTTTTCATTCTAATATCTCGGTTGTATAACATTTTTAGTTAAGAAATTCTTATATTTAACATATTTTAACATTACGTCGATAATCAATAATTTCGTATGATTATTATGAGTCAATATCCGTATTACAGCAATATGCCGCAATAAATATACGAGCTATTTTAAATCAAGACCAGAGGATTTCTCTAGAATTTAAAATATTGCCACATCGAAAGAGAATCCCAAGAGTCATATCGATATTCACCGATATCCATCTATTTAACTCGACATCTAACCGCGGATGATTCTCTCATCCCATCGGTTATATCGAATTGACCGCGATCTTCGCATTAGACAAACACAACCCGGAATCGAACGATCACATTCGACGTTAAATATGGGATACAATGAATACGGGTCGGCATTTTTTTTTTTTACTTTTTTTTGTGACTGACGCACCGCGATCGACTCGATCGGGAGAGAGCGCTTATGTGTACGAAAAAAAAAAGAAAAAAGAACGAACGTACAAAACGAAGGTAAAACGAATCGAGAGACACGACACCCGTAATAAAGCGAGCGGCTGCTCCCGTTTCGGCAGTAATTTCTGATATTACGCTACAAAGTGAGCACGACACGGAAAAGGCTCCTCGCCGCCTCGTCACGGAATCGGGGGCCCCGGTTCGGCTGTGCGTGCGTGCGTGCCTGCACATGCGTGTGTGCCTGCGTATCGACACGTTATTCACAATTAGCCCGCAGCTGACGGAAGCGGGTGACCAAGGCCGAGCTCTCGAGACAGACTCCGCATCTCAACTCGCTATACGGTGGTGGCCTTCGCGAACTTGACGGAGAGGCGAGCGATGTATGCGTGCGTATGTGCACCGCTCCGGGCTATATGCGCGTCTTGTTTCGCCGTGGATACGCACACACATGCGAGTGCGCGCACCCATATGGAGATACACACATGAGTTTCTATGGCTCTGCGTGACAAACCGCATAAAGACCGTATCACGCTAATCTATCGTACCGAGGACTCTATCCGGATCGCGATTGCATTGCGCACGCAGATTGGGAGAGAACGGATCGATCGAGCTCCAAATCTCGATTCGCCGGAATTTTGACCTCGATTTTTTTCTCGATCTTCGCTCGCTTTTACATTGACGCATACAATGACTTTATTCTGCAATATGCGTACAATTTTAAACTCTCAACGTACGATGTAATACGATCTTAAGAAGAACGTGCCGAAGGGATTCTTTCATTCATCGAAAGAGCGTACTGTGAGAGAAGTATCGAGCCAATATAATTTTATTCTCGACACTGTCCATCAGAGTACGAAGGGTATATTACAGTAGAATAGCTAATTTTAAATATCTCAAACGGAAAGGAAGATCTGACAAAGTATTATCTCTATTGCGTCAAATATAATCTTTTTAGAATTAAAAACGAAAGGCAAAGAGCAGACAAAGAGAAGCATTTGTCTTTCAATCGTTTTAAATTTTACTCTTAGATAATTTGACATCTTCTCTCTCTCCGTCATTGAATTATTGCTGCTAAAAAAAAAATAGAGAGAAAACACAAGAAACGTCTACTTTTGGTTCGACATTTTTTACAGAGCATCGTAAGAAACATTCGCGCAACTACATCTCGTTCCTCGAAACGTTGATTGAAAAACACTGATAGCTGATCGCGCGATCAACATACGGAATGACAATCGCGTCCCTCGGTGGATTCGTCGATACCACGCTCTTTAGACGGTAGAGAACCATAGATCAAACACGACTCGCCGGCGCGCGACGTGCGTTATCGCTGAGAAAGGAAGAGGAAGAGGAAAAGCCGCCGCGTATTGTCCTTTTTGGTCGCACGCGACGCCGTCCGTAGTCGCGAATCGCGCGAGAAAGGGAGAGAGAGAGCAAAGTCATGGGGCACGTGTGTATAATAGTACGCACACACGCACTAGTCAGTAGTGACGGGGCCCGCGGACTCAAGGATCGTTCGTCGGTGACGCACAAACGACGAGTCGCTCTTGTAAATCACCTCGCCGCTTCCTAGTCGCGCGGCCGTGAAACACGGAATTGTCATTTGTGCCGCGAAACGTGAGAAAGTTTCAAATGGTTCGGGCCGCGAATGCTCTCCTCTGTTGGTTTCGCAGCCGATTCAGACACTTCCCTGTTCACTAATAGGCGCATTCGGTGCGCACAATGATATTTCTCTTGCCGAGACTGAGATGAAGATAAGATAGACTCAGATAACTTTCAAAAATGTCGAAAATTAGGGAAACGTATTAAATTTTACAATATAAAGGCCATACATTTTTTTACAACTTAAAACTTTAGAAATAAAACTATATAAAACTTATATATAATGTAGTTATTTTAAATATCTATTTTTTATGTTGTTATCTCCGATTTATGCTCGGTTTCTTCACTTCTAAATAAGTTCTCGATAACTTTATCCGGCAGATATCTCGCAGAATCGACCAATCGGGTCATCTGACGGACATCTTTATCTGGGAGATAGCTGTCGGGAGGTGTGAAGAAACCGGGCATTAGTGGCGTAACGATATCTTTCACGATGATATATACATATATACATACATTAATGAATAATCATCAATCTTTATTAATTTTACGATAAGTATATGTATGTACGTTGCCATCGAAAAATATCGCAGTGCTTTGTTTACCTCACTCTATCACAATTACCCTAATTGACCGTATAAATATTTAGAGATGATAATCTCTAATTGGTTAAATGGCCGATAACTATACGGCTGAACGATCAACTGTCCGATCATCGAGGATGATTATTTTGACCAGACGGATTACATGCCGTTTCGGCCGCGGCTCTCGCGCTCGCGATCCGATTTATGTAACACCCGATAGAGAAAGATGAACCTGCGGCGCGTCTCGCGCAATATCTGGCGCAACATATCGTGTATATATATATATATATATCGAGGCGGCCCCGATCGTTTTTGACGAGCTACACGCCGCAAAAATGAGAGATATCGTCGACCAGGCGGCGCGCGATCGACCTAATGGATTCTCTCTCTCCTTTCGAGAGGCCGCAACGACGCCGGCCCCGAATCTGGGAGACTTAAAAAAAAGCCCGAGCCGCCAAGGTGGAGGCGAAGTCGTTGCGAAGCCCCCCGGGGGTCTCCCGCCACCACTGGCGGAGCCCCGATAAATCATTATCTTTGCCGACCGGCTTTTACCTGCGACCCGTGAAAATCGCACGGACACGAAACCGCCAAATCGAGCGTGACTGTTGCTCGCGAGAGGATTGTGTCGAAAGTATAGTTTCCAAGGGATGCGATGAGGTGGGTGGGGCTCACGTGTACATTTGGTTGTAGTTTACGCAGCTTCGCCATATGTTTCGCTCCCATTATAAAAGTGGTGGAAAATGGTTTATGGACGGTTTTTATTAGAGAGCCTGAGCCTGCATTTATATTACCTGGACTTCGAGTTTTTAAGGGCCTGGCAGGACCTTCTATCTATAGTCTCATGGTCATATACACTCGTTTATAATATTGAGAAAAAAAATAATTCTCAAGAACCTTGTATCCTTTTTTTTTTCCTTCAAATTGTGAAATACAATAATATGCGAGCAGTTACGTTCTTCTTCGAACAAGAAAGACCAAGAATCATTAGATTGTACATGTATAATACTTAGCGAAAAATTCGAGCGTCTTGCAAAATTTCAGCGCGAATATATCGTGTACGATATAACGATATAAAGATATACCGGTTCTTGCGAAAGAGAGAGGGCTCGCCCCCCTCTCCGTATCGGCTAATTTCCCAGGCCGTTTCGGTCCGCGGACTTTCCACGAAAGAGCCAGACCTTGGTGCGTCGTCGTTGATGCGCGGGCCGGTGCGTGTTACGCAACGCGCAATTATCGAAACGCAAAAAGACGAGGACCCCTCCGACGAAGAAGAAATCGCGCGCGAACGCAAGGGCATCGCATTCTGATCTGCTCGCGATTTGCGTTGCTTATTAGACAGCGGTGTATGTTAATGCGGCTAACGCCGTGTGTATGCGCGGCGTATATTATACTTTCAGATGTCGGACGGTCGACGTACCGCGGGAGTGCGGCAGATGAGATCGCGAGAGGCTGAATGTAGGTTACGAAAAGGAGAGCCATCCTCACCTCCTCTCTGATTCGCATCCCGCGTTTATATTCAGCGCGATCTCCCGTTAGACGCAATTCAAATTGAGAGAATCGTTGGATCTTGGTGTTAACACATTGTTAGTGTGCGTAGTGTATGAGCGGAGGATTCGAGAGAACCTGACAACTTGATTTACAAGTGTTAATAAGATTAATAAATCTAGTATCTCTATTGCGTTAATATAAAAGATAATACTTTTTATGCCTAGTAAAAGATAAATTGTAGGCGTTCAGCGTCAATAGACAGATGTAGACAAATAGAAGAATACTATGGTGAAAGTATAGGTCAATGGTAAAAGTAATAAAACATAGACAAAAGGTCTCAAATTTGGTTTTTGGACAAACTGCTAAAATGAAGGAAATCATAAAAATATATGATATATACAAAAGCGAAAAATACAAGAGAAAAAAAGGAGGAAAAAAGAAAAATTATATAATTTTTAAATAAAAATATATAGCATTTTCTTTCATACATCACTAATTATTTCATGAAATTTCGAACAGTTATCACAATTTGCTTGTTTTATTAATTTTTAATAATATAGACTTTCCGTGTAGATTTTTAATTGCATTCGAAAATTTAAACACATGTAATAATTAAATATACGTCACGACATTTTTATTTGACGAAGAGAAATTAAATTATCCAATGATATCCCCGCGACCGCTGACCCCACTGTATTTGCATAACATTTTAAATTAACGTATGAAACAGCCAATTAACGAAAATCGGGATATATGCGGGGAGTTCCCGGCGAAATAAGATTTCAGCAGTGAAGAAGGTTCGTCGATTGCTCGCGTACATAAAACGAAAACCG